CTGGACCGGGCACCTGGCTGACGGAAATGCCTGGCGAGAGCCGCTCATCACCAGCCTCTCTGGGCAAGAGAATTGCAAGGTATGCTGCTTGGAAAAGCGCCTGTCCCCAATCACGGAATGAAAAACGTGTAGTTAGACTATTAAAACCACCACTTTGACACTTCTGAGGAATTCATTCCCAGATCCACTCCCTCTGCTCTAAGCAGTGATTGTCACTGTGCCCTGTTCCTGAGAAAAAGGGACAGGCGGCTGCCCTAAATCACATCGGAAATATTTGAACCATTTCCCTCAGTGAGGGAATATCATCAGTTCTGATTTTTCTTGCTTTAGCCAAGAAGCTGTGGGAATGTGAGTCATCCTGTAATCAAAATAATGCAACTCAATATGAGCTGCTTGATGCTGATTCTCCTGGTGGTGCCCTGCTGTTGCTGCATGGGATCAAACCACGGGAATCTACTGCTGCCATGCCGAGCTTTGCCAGAGGGACACGTTAAAGGCTGAGGACTGGCTCTCAGGTGTTGGCTCCATGATCTGGCCATTGGCACCTGGGTTCTGCCGGGGGGCAGAGACACCCTTTAGAGCTGCCTCTAAAGTGGGCTGTGGAGATGATCTCTGAAGGTGTTTGGTATTAGTTTGATAGTTATTATGTGTTTTAAATCAGTGTTCCTGTCAGGGTACATTTTGGACCCCTCAGTTTACAAACTACTGTCTCTGTAGAGCCCTACAGATCCCTTCCTTGTCACTACCGATGCCTGCTTAGAGCCAGAGGACAGCACTGGCTGGACATTTTGTCTTTTAGGGTCTGGAGATGGGGTTAAGTCCAGAGGGGGTGACTGCCCCATCCCAGCAAGAGATACAGGAGACCATGTCTTGCTTTCTCATCCTCTCAGTTATTTCCTGTATGCCTTCCTTCCTATTATGTGCCCCCAGGCCTGAGACCCAATGAGCTAAGAAAATAAGAAGCATTGGCAGAAACTTAAAATGTTGCTCCTCTCTGGATGTGCTTAGTGCTTCATGCCGGACTTGGTGGCCCCTCATGCCCTCAGAGCTCCTCCTGGAGCTAGTGCTCTGAAGGGCTCTTTATTAACTTGGCAATAGCCTAATAGTGGTTTGAAACCTGGCTTTGGGTGTTGGAAATTCAAGGTTTATTTTCCCTTCTGTCCATGGAAATTCAAACCAGTGTTTCCTAAGAGTGACCCGATGGCCAGAGCACACACTGAGGCTGCTCACTTTCCGTTTCAGCATATGCTATGCAAGTGTGGAAAAGAATCCGTGATCCTTTGGGGCAGGAACAGGAAACCCTAAGTAGCAGCAGTATTTTAGCTGTGGAACCTGAGCCAGCATTGACTCCAGGATACAAGGAGTGTCTCTTCCTCTATCTAACTCATGCCTATGGGGTTGAAAACCTTATGGGACATGGACAGAGCTTTGCCTGTTTATTGGATTTGCTGGGATTTGCCCATTTTGTCTCAGATATGAGTTTGGCATAGAGCTGGTTGGCTTATTCGAGGTTGGAACAGTTCTGATGACGTGCAGGAGGCTTTTCAGTACCTTGTGATCTTGTGGATAAAATCCACATTTCCCTATTTTCTTCTTCAGGACTGGGCAACATGCCAGGATGTCAAGTTTCCAGATTCAGTCTGATTTACACAGCAAAAGGGGGCAGCATAGAAAAGGTTAGATTTTTTTTTTTATCGAAGAGGAAAAAAAACCATTTTGCCTTTCAGTGTATCCCAAGATTTGAAAGTGTGGGGTCAAAGAGAAAGTTTTCACTTCCTTTGATCTCCTTACAAGGAGGGAGTAGCTTTCATGCCTGTCTTAGTGACAGGGAGAGGAGAAACATGACACGCAGAGTGTCCTGGATTTACAGAAGTCAGCAGAGATTGAAAATGGTTACTGCCTCAAAGAAATGGATTCCTAGGTAACAAACAGGACTGAATGTTAGAAAGTGCTCAGTTTAGGGAGCTGACAAACCTGGAGGTTTACCATATTTAGTCAATGTCCTTGTCTCATGTCCACTGTTTCAACATTGGCAAAACATACAGATATATGTAGAGAGACTGTGTTGATTTCTGGTAGTACTGATTATATCCCCCAGATTCTGAGGAAAATAGATATAATTGTTGCTTTGAGAATCCCATAATTGAAGGAAAGTAGTAGTTTAGCAGATGTTTGACCATAAAGTATCAAAGAATTCGTATTTTTTGCATGTGTTTTCAAATGCACTTTTTTTTTCCTGATGGGTGACCCTGCCCTTTCATTTTAAAGAAATACTGAGACGTAGAACCAACCCCAGAATGCAGCCTGCCCAAAATATCTGCTCAAAAAAGGAACAGTCTCTGGTTTCTGTGTACTGTTCAGTGCAGTGAAATTGAAATAATGTAAGTATGAAAAAGATGTATTGGCAGACTTTTTCCTAGTTTTTGTGTTCAAGTCGTGGGTTTTTTTGTTTAACTGTCAACAACATTTGGTCCACTCTTGCTCTTATAGAAGGTGGTGGGAGTTTTGCCACTTAGATAATATGAAAATAATTCCAGCCTGTTATTTATAAAATGGGGATAATGTGTCTCGAAGCTGTTGAAGGCGTGTGCTGTTGCTGTAGGCTCAGTGTCTTTTTAAGCCAGGGATGCTCCTGAAAGAAGTCATCTGACCCCAGTCCTGACTGATGTATTTTTCCCCAGTTTTGACCCTCCCTTTTTGTTTCTCAGTGGTGAGTGGATTGGAGAATTCAGATTTAAAAAAGGCCAACAAAAAAGTTAATTTTAACATGTATCAGAGGATTTACCCTTGAGTTGCCAGCATCGTGGATGACCACTGACCTACTGGGAGAGAAAGAGATCCTTCTGGAGTTTCTTGGGTACCTCCTTTGATGAGGAGTTCAATGCTGAGAGCAGGGGTTGCGGAGAGTCATAGGTGTGAGAGCACAGTGCACGGCAAAGCCCTCCTTCTGTCTTCACTGGATCTCTTTTTCTGTGCGTGAGGAGCTATTGGTTCACATCTTGAGACCGTGAGCCTCAGTACTGAGTGCCTGGATTGTTTATTATTACTTAGAGGAGTGCTGCTTGCAGTATGAT